TAATGTGTTGTGCATTTGTTTTGCTGGATACAGAAAAACTAAAGAACTAGAATATTCTTATTCTCTCAGATATAAAAGGGAGGCAAAATTTTTGTTACAGGGTTAAAGACCTGATTTGGTTTTATGTTTTTCAGGGAATTATTATTTTTATTTATATAAAGTACTGTTAGGTAAATGTAAAGAAATGACATTTGTCCTCAGCAGATCTACATTGACTATATAGCATATGAAAATTACTTTTCTTCATCTTCTATACTTGAATGATTAGAAAATAATTGACCCTCATTAGAGTGTGAAACAGACCTAAGGAAAGCACACTTTGTTTGTAAAGGCAAACACATTCATTATGAACACCAAATCCTGATGAAATAGATTTGGAAAATTAAAATGGCTTAAATTTGATATAATTCTATAAATCTAGATCTCACAATATATTTTCTATAAATGACAAAAACTGGGAAATGCATTTTCACATTTTAATTACAATTCACATGTCTGTAGCTCCTGCTGTGATGTTTTGTTCAAAAGAAATCTCATTTGTGAGGCTGCCAGTATAGAAGCTGACAGATGGTAAAAACCAGTTTCCAGCTTTCCCTAGCACTGGTTTAATGTGGCTTCGACTATTTTATTAGTGTTGTTTGCCTATTACATATTTCAGTAGTACAAATATGTTCTCCTTACAGCTTTACTTTTGTTGTTGCTGTAATTATATCTCTACATATGCTTAGTGTTAGTTTCAAACTTTATCAAGATATTGTTCTTAGGAATGATTTAGCTGATTATGATGTATTTGTTTAAATGAAATGCATATTATCACATAGGTGCTAGGACAATATAGAGCAGAAAAACTTAAAGTCCACTTTGTTGGATATGACTCATAGATAACACTAACAAATTAACTCACTAATTTGGTAAATTTTAAAAATACTGCAACCAGACAAAAACAGATTATTCAAACATGGTAATTACATCAGGAGGAGGCAAGGGATCCTGAAGTTGGTTTCAGGAATACCTCATCAGGAGAATTAGAAATCAGAAACAAATATAAGGAAATAACATAAAACAGTTTCTAATGGCGATTCTGCTTATAAGAATTTTTCAGATATCATAATAAATAGTACCTAAAAAAAAAAATCAGAGTCATACACTCAAAGGGTATTAGTGTTTTCAGCTTTCCCACCTGAAGTATTTCAGCTCCCTAACCTGGGACCTTCTCCTGCAAACTCAAGATTAATGTTTTTGCTGGATTAGAGGCATCCACAGTATCTTCTGCTTTCCAGCCTCTTCCTCTGGTATGCTGAGAATCCTGTGCAAGGATGGCAGGTGGGAGCCCAGGTGGAAGGGGAGGCTTGTTCCCCAGCCTGCCTTACAAGGTGAATCCTGGATGTTGATGCTTTGGGCAGCAAAGACAGCTCACACAGTGTTTAATGTGCTGACCTGAGTTTAGTTTCTGTCTAGTTTTCTTCATGAATAGACCCTGCTGTCCTGCTAATCTCTCTCCCTCCCTCCTCACCTACCTCTCTGCCTTTTTTTCTCTCTCTCTGTCTGTCTCTTCATGCCCAGTCAAACAATTTACTAAGCAATAGTCACCACTACTATGCTTATAAAAACGTTTTTTCTTGTCTACTGTGCATTATTGTCTGGATGATTATCCCCATTCATGTGTTTCCACATTAAGATTACAGTTGTGGTGCTCTCTGGACCCAGAACTGCAGTTGAGTCAATCTCACGCTTTTATCCATTCACATCTTGAACCAATTTCTGTTCCAGCCCTGCTCTGCATGAATTACTGCTCTTCTCCCAGGTACCCATAGGCAGCTTTCACAGGATAACTGTCACCATAAAGAACAATACCTAGGAAAGAAAAAAAAGTTGCAAAGTTATTTCCATTTTGTGTGTGAGTGTGTACGTGTGCGTGTGGAGGCCAGAGGTTAACGCCAGGTGTCTTCCTCATTTGCTTTCGCAATATTTCTTAAGGCAGTGTGACCTCAAGGGACCTGAGGCTCCAAGATTTCTTTAGACAGACTGCCCAGCAAAGCCCAAGATCCTTTTGTCTCTACCACTCCGCACTGGAATTACTTACAGGTGTGCACTGCTGTCTGTGCCTGGCTTTGGTGTGAATGCTGCGGATCAAATTCAGGTCCCCATGCTAGATAGCAAGCACTTGACTACTGATCCATATCCCCAGTTCATTTTTAAAACTTTTATCCACATTGCTTTGCAAATGTATTAAGGTTAATTCAGTTTCTAAATTATTTTAGGACTAGTAATGGAGTTAGAAAGAAAAAAAATCTCTATTATCTTTTCTCAGCCTGACTTTTAGATTTTAGTAGTGCTACTTAGGAATTTCTAATTTGGCTCATCACTATGGTGGGAGCACAGTGCCCATAAGGGGCATGTATGTAATTGGCAACCTAATTTTTCTGCTTTCATCAAATACTGCAAAGCCAAATCTTCAATCCACGTGCCAGTTAGACACACTTGGGAACCAAACAGCAGCAACCTCACGAGAGAGGAAAATGAACAAACTGGAAAGAGTCATTAGCTTTCTGTTTTTCTACCACAACAAAAATTGTAGCACTGACCGTGCTGCAACTGGGAAATTCTACTCGAAAGATGAAGCAATCTTAAAAGAGAATAATTCATTTACTAACCTTCTCAAGCGTTCATTAGCATTTATAAACGAGGTTTCTACATAGACTTTTTTATAAGAAAAATAAAAAAGAGTTAAAATGAATCAACTCTTAAGAAGTGTCTTTTAGGGCATTTTATATGTCTTTTAGTCTGGTGCATATGAATTCTAACCTTTATTTCATAAAGCAAATTCACAAAATAAGAAAATGTTAGCTTTAATGTCTTAATGAAAAAGGAAACTGACAGATTGCCATGGTTCTCACCAATTACGAATGCAATTTGTGAGTGTGAAAACTGCAGTCAGCTGTAGTTACTAAAATGCCTTTGAAATATCTCATATAATTTTGAAGTATGCATTATGGAGGAATGTTTACTATTGATCATAATAGGAGATAAAGAGAACCAAGTTAATAAAACAGTCAGAACTTGCTCGGTATGATCAAGCACTGTCCTTCAAAAGTGGACAGAATTAAAAAAAAAAAAACATGTCCATTTACAGCTAACATCTATTTACAGCTTGTAACTCATCAGCTGAAAATGTTTTGAAATAACTATTCTACAAAATTGCCTTTTACAGTAACCACAGATTTCTCCTACTAAAGATTGTGGGGAAAACTTTCCTATCTATGAGTTCAAGTATTTTCAGGTTTTTAAAGTCCTTGCCTCGTCCTAAAAGTGAGCACATTTTAAAGTTCTTACACTGTGAAAAGAAGGGGCCCAGGACACCAGAGGGTGTTAGGCCAGCTCATTAATAATCATCCAAAGTTCTGAGGAAATGTTTAAGATTTGTGACTGATGTAGTAGTTTTGGATGGGCAGTAGAGGGAGAGCATCCTGGCTGTGTCCTTTTCAGGTCTTGATGATAAGTCTGAACCGTTCTCAGTGGACTTACTGCATGAGATATGGGAGAGTTGGGCACCGGAGCATGAGGACCTGAACTAGGATCCTCAGAATCCAAAGAAACTGGTTGTGGTAGCACAGCGTACATGCACGATCCTAGGCCTTTCACCACAGAGAATCCTGGGACACTTTCATGAGTGCGAGCATGCACATTGACAAAAATGTTAAATATTTAACTGTCATAAGCCAAACAAGAAGAAAAATACAGCGTCAACCTTGTTATTACCGCTCATCTGAGTTTCTGGGTTTGTCCTAAATAATAATAATAATAATAATAATAATAATAATAATAGTAATAATAATAATAAATATACAGCAGAGTTATTCTCATAGAACATATAATAATCACAATCATAAAGATACACTCAAAAGGTACACTTTGACTACCCCTCCCCCACCTCCACAGGCACATCACAGACTAACCAGAACATGCACACAAATATGGACACCTACTTGAAAGAAGTGCAGGTTGACTTTCATTGGCTGGCTCTTTCCCAATAAAGTAGTATACTAGACCATGAAGACCTTGGACTTTGAGCAAGAAGCTTATAAAAGGCGCCAATAGGTGAACTCTGCTGTATGACGTTATACACTTCGAAATGGTCCATATAGTAGAATGGGTTAAATGTTTCTGATAGAGTTAAATGGTTTCCATGTGTTGTGCTGTCTGCTAAAGGCATACATATTAGGAGTGGAGATGTAGAAGAGGACGGATGGAAAACTGCTCAAGGCCTAATACAACCTTGAAGGAAATGAGGCAGTGCAAGGGGAGACAGGATCACCAGAAAATAAATTAGGTAAACAACGGCACCACGCATCAGAAATTCTTTTCATCTCTGAAGTGACAAATTTTCTCCAAGGGGGTCATCAGTCAAATGGTGTCAAGCTGGTCACTGGCTCTGGAATGCTTCCCGGGACCACATTTGTAGGAAGAGGAGTCAACTCCCAGCCAGTCCCAAGGCTTCTATTCTGATCTTTGACCGCCACAAACCTTAACTGGGAGGCGTGACCTGTTTAAAGGAAAGGAGGCTGGCTTGCTTGTTACCTTGTTAGCTAGAGAGTTGTCAGGACGATCTCAGGGCGGGTGGCACGGGAAAACCGGGACAGAACATTGCAATTACTCCTATTTCCAGGAGGGGAAAGACAATATCCGCGTTTCTGAGAGCCCAGGCGCAGTGCTTTCCCAGCCTTCCAGCGTCCCGCCGCGCGCCCCGATCTGTCCCGGCGACTCGCCGCGCGCGGGGATCCGGCGCACCGCGGGCTCCGCTCCCTCCCCCGATTCGGCCGCGGGTGTGCGCGTGTCGCCGCGCCAGGCTGCGTGCGCGGAAGGCAGCGACGCGGTTGGCCAGCGCCGCCCTCGGGCTGCCCCCGCCCGGCCCGACTCTGTCACCCGCTCGGAGGCCGCGGCGCCGCCTCCTGCCGCCGGGGAGCGCGGCCTGCCCGGGAGGCGCTCGCTGCAGCCGCCCCGCGGCCCCGCTGCGCACACCGCCGCCCACCCGCGGCCGCCGCGCGCCCCGCCCGCTCGCTCCCATTCTCGCCCATCATGACTGTCTGCAAAGCTCTTGCGGAGCAGCTGCGGTGGCGCAGGCGGGAGCGGCGGGAGGAGTGCTGAAGACAGCGGCCGACCGGGAGTGCACGGACGCCGCGTCCGGGACCAGCCCCGCAGCTCCAGGTAGCAGCGCGGTGCGCTCGGCTCGCACGGGCCTGGGCTGAGCGCCAGGTGACTCGCCCCGGCTCGGGCCGCGGGGCCCTGCGGTGGGGGAACTCGCCCGGCGGGCGTGGGTACTGAGCGGCGTGGCCCGCCCCTGCAACCTGGGGGTCTCCGTGGCAGAGTTGGTGCATTCGGGGCCGGGGCGGGGACGGTGCGGTGGGGCAGGCGGGAGCCCCACGCAGCGCGTCGACCGCCGCTCGCCCTTGCCTCCGGAGCCCGCCACACGGAGTGGACCGATTGCTTTGTGGCGCGCCCGGGGCTCGCGGGGTGCGGGCGTGGGGGTGCCCCTGCGTGTGTTCTCGCGCCGGTTCACCGGGGCGGAAAGTGAGCCCCGCGCTGACAGCAGGTGGCTGCCAGGCCCCTCACCTTTTGGCTCCTGTCTTAGGGACTCGCGCACACAGTGCCAGCGCCCAGGGAGCGTGCGCAAAGGGGCGACTGAGGGATTTGTGAATGGCGCTACTGCGAGGAAGCTGCGCCTTGCTGATGCAAAGGGGCTAGTATCCCGAGTGAGAAGAAAGGCTATTTATGGCAGAGTTGCGGGGTTCCCTTCTGTGTACGCTCAGCCCCTCCTGCTCAGAACTAGAAGCAATTCTGTTTGGTTTTTTTTTTAACCTTCTTGTAGAACATACTGTATAAAACGAAAGAAGGAAGTCTGAAATTCACTCTGATCTGTACAGGTAGAAGTGCTCCTTGGAGGTCATGGATCCCTTTTCTGATGTTTTGGTGCCCAGGTTGTCTGTTCCTCTTACCTCTTAAGGTCCCCAATAGCACTACAGGACAGAAAACCTGCTTGCTTTCAGCAGCCTTCACTAATGAAAGCATCACAGTTGAGCACTTTCCTCCTGAAATGTAACACACACCCTCCATTCTTCCCTTCCCATAGGGCTGTTCAAAGAATGTTCACCTATTTAATATGAAGAGATGTTGTTATAAAGCCCCGGGGAGGATGTAGAAGCAGCAACTCAGTGAGTTTATGTCGACAACGACCAACTCTTTAAAATCTTGTTACTGGGGACGACCCAGAGTACTCTTCATCTAGGCTATAGAATAATTAGTTTGTTTTGGTTTCTCCTTGTGTTTGCTTTAAACAGGTGCCAATTACAGGGTCATAAGTGGAAGCTTAGATGTGAGTTGGGACAGTATCTCTCAGAGTACCTTAGCAAATTTGTTATGTCCTTTGAAGTAACAACCTTTGTTTCGATAGAACTGCGACTGGACTTTGATAGTGGGACTCTACGTCAATTAATTTAAGCTGAATTTTCCTAAAGACTGCCAAATATACTGTTTATTTTTTCAGTCAGGCTGAAATTCCATTTTACAACTACACCTTCAGTAGTTACACAAAAAGAAAGTAGTCAACCTAGTATTAGAGTGGTTTGTCATCACCTGGTTTAATTAAAGCGACTGACCAGAACTGTTTTGATTAAAAAAAAAATGTTCGTGTGGGTGAGCTCCAGTGTAAGCAGCTCTCTCTAGTAGCCCTGCTCATTTGAACAGAGTCAAGGATTCCTATTTGATGTGTAGCTATTACTGCTGGCTTAAGGTGCATTTGCAGTACTGGAGCAGCATCTTGACATCTGGTGGACTCTGACTACACCACATTGAGACACTGAGTTTAGTATCACAGCAAGGCTGTGTTACACAGCAGCACTCTTGGGTCTGTTGGCACATCGCGATAATTCCATCACCGTGATGCTGGAAGTCATATTTATGGAATGTTGTTAATGTCTTTGGAATCAGTGACTCTTTCTTATTTTAAAGCTGTTCCTTATACTATGGGCCGTTAGTTGATATCAAATCCCCGAAGTAGAAAATGAAACATTTACGACCTGACAGTTGCAGTTATTTGCCTTTTTATTGTACTTTATTACTCATTATAGTACTCATACGAAAGGTCTGTGTTGAGCAATGGGTTGTCTTGACAGTTTCGAGGAACACAGGGACTTTCTTCTTTACATCCCAACCTTCAGGAGCTTATGGGCAGTTTGAAGGCATCTGATGTGCATACTTGAATACATTATTAACAGCCCACGATAGCTTGAGATTACAGGTCTATTGAGGAGTCCAGGGGTGCAGAGCATGACAGTAACATTTAATGGTAGGTTTTGTCTGAAAAGTCTCCAGTGGGTATGTCAAACTTCCTGATTTAAGGGGTAGTAGGATGAGTAAGTTGTGCATGACAAGGCTTAAGAAGCAACATGTCCTGGACTAGAGAGCAGCAAAGAAGACACAGGGTAGACAAGTTTGAAGTAGATTTGGTTAGTGCTAAATATTTGGCCAGTTGGATCTGTTTTGATGTAAAATGTTCCATGACTTCTCTTCTCGTAGGTTGTGGTCAGTATTTCTGCACTTGAGAGGCTAAATCTGTACGTTTTTAATGAGCAGTTTATTCTCGGACTTCTACAGTAGTAAAGTGCTTGGAGGGAAACGGCACTTAAAGTGTGTAAATGTCTCTACATCACGCTAAGGTACTGAGTTTGGCAGCAGTATCAAGTCTTTGGGGTACCATCTCTTCGTGTTAGGGTGGTCGCTGTTTCCTTTCTAAAACATTTTTGGGTCTCTTCACCATAGAAGTGTGATAAGGTGTAAAACAACAGTATTGATGAACATGGATAGAATGTATAACACTTTATTGTCGTGTAAATGCATAGCCACTAAATCATGTATTTGCTCTTACTTTTATTCGAAAACTGGTAGATTTGTTTCATGGATTAGATTTTATCTCAAGTTCTTACTTGTATACAAATGACGCTTTGGCTACCCTCACATCACCTACCATGGGTATAGTACGATGATACCAGGCCTGTGGGAAAGTTTTCAGAAGAGTAGAAACACTTTCAAAGATCATTTTGCTATTTCCTGGCAGGAGAGTGTAATAGTAACATGACCTATCTATGCTCTAAAGTTGTGTGTGTTTGTGTGTGTGTGTGTGTGTGTGTGTGTGTGTGTGTGTGTGTGTGTACACTGCAATGTGTGCTATGATACAAAATAGAATCTGAAGGTCTTTTATAAAGATGCAACCTGTGTATGTAAAGTGATAGAGACTTTATAGAGAAACATTGAATGTTTAAAATGCATTTCTTCATTTGACAAACATAACTGGAATCAGCAGAGTCGACTTGGAGCCTATCTATTCAACATGGCAGCTCAGAAGTATGTTACAGAGACAGTAAATAAATTGTACAAACAATAGGTATGCCTTCCAATAACCAAATGGAATTACTTTCGGATTAGCTGAATTGAAAGGTTTTCATATATCTATGTTGTTGACAGTGCTTGGATAAGTCATTACAGAGCGAAAGCCTATTAGATCAGATTTCATATTCATGTGTGAGTGGAGTGATTTCCAGCACAGCCAGGCACAGATCAGTCTATCTCTCTGTCAGTTAATCTCTTTGCTGTTTGGTTGTGGATTAGACGTCACAGGTGTATCATTTTGATAATGTAACCTTGGCTACTGTATGACTGAGAGCTTGTGCTTGATTTCCCTACTGGGTAGTGACAAAACCTACCGGCTTTATATAATGGGCATGAGCTTTTATCGGCAATATGATCTTCGCTATGCAAGAGTGTCAGTTAGCAATGAATAATGAACTATGGGGTAAAAGAAGCAGTGGGAACAAGGAGAGGCTGAGTGAAAACTTTAATGGAAGAAACATGCTTCATTTTGGAGCTGAAGGTAATTATGAAGGATGTAAAACTGGCCACCTGCAACTTCATCAAACTACGAAATATTCTTGTTTATTTTTTTCAATTTAACTGTTTCCCTGTGTAATACATTAAAAGGGAAAATGATAGTGGCCATCTTTGCTTCCAAACATTGTCCATATGATATTAAAATTATTAAAAATATTTTTTCTTTGTCACTGAAAATGAAGTTGTTTGGCCAGTTTTAGATACTTAGATACTTAGAACTTCAAATATGGCTTTGGGTCTTAGGGTGTTATTTATATTACATTCATAATTTAAAGGGTTTTTATAAAATCAGACTGATAATTTACTTTAGGCATATAGCCACAGCATCACAAATGTGGAGTTGTTGCGAAGCATTACTCCTGCAGGTAATTTAGATAAAATCTACACACCTTGCCTGAGTCACATCCATGTGTTTATTTCCTGTGTGTCCTTTAGCACAGCTCCTGTCCTTCCCCTCCCTTGTCTAATTCAAATATTCAGATATAAGTTACTTCTCTTGGATTTCTGTGCTGAGTCAATTGTCCTATTATGTATTGTTTTAGTTCTGGGTTCTTCTACTGGGTGACACATACTGTAACTTTTAATTGTATGTGCATTTTGGAATTGGCTCAATATCAAATCATCAGAAATTACTAGTGCTTACCTCAAAAATATTCAGAAAACATTAGCTGACTGAATGACTGAAAAAATAACCGAATGTCTAGTGGCTGGAGAGGTGGCTAAGTGGTTAAAAACACTTGCTGCTCTTATACAGGACCTGGGCTGGTTCCCAGCAACCAATACTGCATCTCATAATTTCCATTCCAGGGGACCTACCATTTTCTTCTGACCTCTGCAGGTTTCTGCATGCATACAGTACACATGCATATACTGAGGCACACAAACATACACATACAATAAAGTAAATAAATATTTTTAAAAAAGAATTCAGAATCTATACTCTCATCCTAAGGATTTCTTCCTCCAAAGGAAGCCATTCTAAGAAAGCTTTAAAAGTGAAGGTGTTTCTAGAGCTTTGACAAACACAGGCACCTCTTTCTCTTATATTTTGAGAACAGTGCAATATAGTTTTGTAAACAACAATAACAGCATTTATGATGAGCTGGATCCTTCGTTGTGATAAGCATCTTATATCTTGTGTCATGTATTCCTTCTAACACTGCAAAGCCAATTTCCGGCACACAGTAATGATGAAAGTAGTTTTGTGTCTCTCCACTATGGCCTGTAAGGCTATTTAGACCAGACTGAACTTTTTATTACATTATGCAAATTTATTAACTAACAGGCTGAGAAGGTTTGAAAGACTATATTTTCTGTCCCTCTCTCAAGAACATTGTATCTATATGATATCTCTATGTATATTTTAAACTATTATATTGATTAGTGGTGTGTGCACTTATGTGAAGGCCAGAGAAAAAATCCTGGGAGTCGGTTTTCTCCCTCTCCATGGGTTGTATGGCTTATTTGGTAGGTACTTTACCCTCTGGGTGATCTCACCACCCAAGGATGTATCTCCTTTTGGTGTCTAATTGACCAGGCACAGCAACGTCAGTACATACTCATCATTTCCTCTGTCTTCAATGCTGCTGCTCTTGATTCTTGGGCAGGTGGGAGAGGTGATGGAGGATGGGCAAAGCTGATTTTCCCATTGTCTCTTTGCTTTTCTGAAATAATATAAACCTTTGATACCATCCCCTCTCAATTTCAATACAATCCCCTCCACTGTGAATTTTAATTGGTTAATGAAGATATAACACATATAGTTTTGAGAATGTGTGCCTTTATGAACAGGCTGTGCAGCCGTACATTCTATTTCATTTTTGGAAAAGTGCAGCTCAGACTCTGGAAAACCTTTGGGTAACTTGCTCAAGAAAAGTCAACTTCAGATACAGTTGTGAATCATGATCTCGTCCCATGAAGAGGAGGAAGTATAGTTTGTTTTAACTTTTATTCACCAATTCATCTATTTAAGTGATGTGTTAATCAATGTCAAAGTGTGTATAGCAGAAAATATACTTAAAGGTTGACACCATAAAGTCCAGGAATAGAGTTGAATTTGGATGTCATGAAACCCTTTACTAGACTAATTGCATACATGTATATATTTTATCATATGTTTAAGTCAGTGAGGAAAATTAGATGAATAATAATCTCAAAGAGAAAAAAAATATTTGGTTGTTTAACTGGATATTACTCTTTCAGCCTATTTTGTAACATTTTTCACAGTCTGTTTTTGTTACTAGAATTGTTTAATTCTAAACTTCTGCCT